GGGTCTCCCATGTATGTGATAGTCTCAAGTCCTTGGGCCATGCTGCGCTGCTTTCCCAGGAAGTCGAGACCTGAACCAGCACCCACATTAACACCAGCACTGCAGGTGATGACTCGGCTTTTCCTACCGCTCACTGCCTTCATTATTGGTCTCCCAGCACCAGAGAGGCAGCAGATCAGCTCAAATAAATGACCTCCATGCCTAGTCTGCTGTCTGATTGATTTTATCATCTCTGCCTCTTGTTCCTTTTTTAGGTATGCTTCAAGTCCTATTATATATAGGCAGCTATTATAGTTGAATTTTCTAGAGAAAATGCTAAAGCCTCTCATCCATTTTGTTTAATGTATTTATTCTTCTGAGGTAAGGGATCCAAAGTTCTTATTGGATACCCCACAAGCAAAGAGTTGCTTTTGGTATTTTTATGTATGGTTGGCTCTCAGAAGTATCAGAATGCCTGCCTGGCATGTTTGTGGGTGTCAACAGTAAAAACAAAAAACTGAGTTTATAAAGAAATTGAAAAGTTATTTGTATGTTTGATAGTCTTTCTCTAGTGTAGAATTTTTTCAATCAATAGCTTCTTAGTTTGGCTGTTTTTAAGTAAGATAATCCGTCCATCAGATAATAATAGTAGAGTACGGTGTATGACCCAATTTCTTGAGGTTGGAAACTTTTTTTTTAAGATGTATGTATTTCTTTGACCAAGAGATCTCTTCCATCTGCAGATTATCTTGCCAAATAAAAGTCACAACAGCCATGTTTTTGCAAGGCCTAAGCCAGGAGCAAGCAGCTCCATCTACATTTCCCACATGGGTGACAGGGTCCCAGTACTTGGAGCCATCTTCCACCACCTTCCTTCTAAAAGAATATTTAATTTTCTTTGTAATTACTGTTTACATGGTTGAGAGGGGTGCATGCTCAGGTGATCTTGATGAAGGTGGAGAGGGCCAGTACCCAGGAGGGTGGGTGGTACAAATATTTCAGTTATTTTTTCTTTTTGCTCCTGTGTCCACAGGGGAGAAAGGGAAGGAGGCCATACCTTGCTGTCAAACTACATAAGCACCCAGGGATAGGGGACAGTCATTTGACGACACTTTAGTGACCCCAGTGTGGGGAGGAGTATTGCGAGGTATTACTTGAGTGGTTTTGACAGGTTTATAATGTTGCTGATTTCATTGTTCCAGGTTTGAGAAAATCTTTCCAAGGTCTGTTAGCTGACCAAGTCCACCTTAGTACATCCACAGATTCAGGAATATGCTGCAATGTTTGGCCAGGAGAGTGGTCCAACCTGTTCTGCTTTCCATCCTCTGACCAGGCAGTTGACGTCTTCTGCTGACCTAGATGAGCTGGCCATAATGTCCCCTCTAAGCATCTGGGCATGCTGTATACTACTGCATAGGCATCAGCAACTGAAGAGGTCCAGTCCCAGTATATGCGCTTAAAAGTCAGACTGCGCATCCTGTGATTTTCCATGTTGCCAGGGTCTGAGTCCAACAGTCTAGTCTAGTTGTGGAGGTCCCAAGAAACCTTGCTTAGGTGATCCCAGACTTGACTTTTGTGTGTACCATGCAGTGCAGGTTCAGGCTCGATCTGTCATCAGTAATCACCAACAAATGCACATGTTTGTGGATGTAGCTCCCTGGTCAGTTTCTGCTCAGACCCATATATGATGTGAACTAATGAGTGCTGCTACCCAACCCAGCCAGCCTGCCACAGACCAAGTCCTCATTCATACCAGTGGGTGCTGTGGCCTAGTCAGGGTGACCCCCATTAACTCCCACCAGGCATACTCCCAGCCCCAGTTTTTGCATATGCTTGTCTGCTGTAGCCTAATCTGCCTCAGCTCAGATCCCATCTGGCTATTGTGCACACCTGTAGGTGCTGCAGCTTAGCTCAGCCCACCTTGCCCTCAGACTTGGCCTTCAGGTGTGCCGGTAAGTGCCACTGTCTTGTCCAATCTGGCAATACTGGTTGTTGCACTCACCAACAATAGGTACAATCTCACAAGGTAGTTTCCACAGTACTCCTGCCAGGTATATTTCTAGTCCTGGATTTTGTGCCTGCCAGGGGGTACTACAATCCAGCCGTACATGACTTGCACCCAGTCTCAGCACTTTCCAACTTGTGCTGTGTCCCAGCCCAGTAGGCCTACACCCATTCTTCCTCTCAGAAATACTAGCTGGTGCAGCAGTCTAGCCCAGCCAAGCCCAGGCCTGTCTACACTTAGACTAGCCCACTCCAATTCCCAGTTCTCATGGCCACAAGTGGAAGCAGTAGCCCAGCAAAGCAATCCCCGAAGTTTCTCTAACAGGGTCCACTCACAGCCCTGGGTCTTGCATGTACCTGTAGGTACTTTGAGACCCAGCTTGGCATGGTCCACCCACAATCTCAGCTCTTGCTGGTGGGTGTTGCAGCCTAGCCTAGCCAGGTAGTCCATATCCTGACCTGGCTCTTGAGAGCCAGTGGGTGCTGAGACTTTGCCCAGCCTGAACTGGCCTGGCCTTTCCCCATACCTGGCTCTTGTGCTCCGCAATGAGAGCTATGACATAGTAGTAGAGTTCCCCAAGTTCCCCACCAGACCTGTTTCCAACCCCAGATATCATGTTATGTTAGTGGGTGCTGCAGCCTGACCCCACTACCTACCTTAGAGCCAGCTCCCAAAGTGTCAGGTGGGTTCCTGTCAGGTGAGTTCTGTGGTCTAGCTTGACTTGGCCTCACTGCTCCCAACTCTCCATGTAAAGTGATAGGTGCTAGTTTCTCAGTGGCGAGCCCATAATTGCCCTACAGAATCTGCCCCCCTGCACTGATATTTGCAGGCAGGTATTGTGTCCTAGCCCAGCACAAGTATCCCCTATGTGTGGGTGCCTTAGCCTGACCCAGACATGCTTTCTGGTTCTTCCCCTCTAAATCGCTCCATCTCAACTCCCTTGCCTACCCGCAAGTGCAGTGGCCCTGTCGGTGGAAGACCCCGGAAGTCATTTCTTCCCTGTCAAACAAGCTCTCAGTCATTCCTATTCCAGTATGTCCCCACACCCCTCCCCAGAGAATCTACAGCATCCTACCCCTCCCCTCCTTAACACTCCTCCTTCCCTATTTCCTCCCCTCCGCTGGCCCGAGGCTGAGGTGGTGTGTCCCAGCCCAGGATTCCCTGTATTCCCTACTTCTCTTTAACGGTAACAGAAGAATAAGTTCCTGTGCTATCATACTGGTGTGGTTAACACAACTATGGCATTAACCAGGTCCAAAATGCCTGCCAGCTACTGATTCTTTTTCTCTCAGCAGTGTAACGCTTGCCTAGGTACAGGGCAACCTAGGCAGTTGCCTACAGCTGGTGATAAAGAGCACTTTCAATATGGCTTCCCGTACTGTGCCACAAAGCAGGCCCTGTTACACATTTTTAATTTTATTTTTTCCGTGCATCTGTGGAAGTTCCTTAGTATATTATAGTATTGCTAATCCTCTAGTGTCCTTCCATTCTGCTCATCTGTTACATGACTTTGTGTAAGATACTCTAAGTGAATGTCCTTTGCTTCCTTAGTTTAGTGAATTTATTGCTAACTTGGCTTTTAGACCATTTAAAGATGCCTTTCTTTTCACCTTCTCCAGGAAATTGTTTATGGTATGTCAGTCAGCAAAGCTAGATTTTGCTACAGGAGCAATGCCTACATTCCAGTGGCTTACAGGCACAATGGTTTTTCTTTTTGTTGTTGTTTATTTACTTGCTTGTTTGTCTATGTTCCTTTACTTTAATAAAAATATATAGATCAGAATATCACCATGGAATTTAAGTTCAGGTTAGTTAAGAGAATTTTTGTAATAATATATTCTGTATATATCAAAGTTTGTATATAATGTTTGATCAACCAGCTTGCTCACAAACTATTAATCACTTCCACTGTAGGTAGTTTAATATTTATAAGTCTTACACAGAAGAAAAAAATACTGTACACATTTAAAAATGGTAATTTACCTTTGCCTTAAGCAGTTAAAATGCAAGTTTCAATTTCAAGATGACATTTAGAAATTATTCTAGTATAACAGCAGCAAAATATAATTCTTCAGTTATGAAAGAACTAAATTGGAATCCATAATTAAATTGATCTCATTTTACAGGTATGATTCTGAAATATACTGCCACACAGCTATCTTTTTTTTTTTAAAGATTTACTTTTATTATTTTTTTTATTGGAAAGGCGGATATACAGAGAGGAGAGACAGAGAGGAAGATCTTCCGTCCGATGATTCACTCCCCAAGTGAGCGCAACGGTCGATGCTATGCCGATCCGAAGCCAGGAGCCTCTTCCGGGTCTCCCACGCGGGTGCAGGGTCCCAAAGCTCTGGGCCGTCCTTGACTGCTTTCCCGGGCCACAGGCAGGGAGCTGGATGGGAAGCGGGGCTGCTGGGATTAGAACCGGCGCCCATATGGGATCCCGGTGCGTGCAAGGCGAGGACCTTAACCACTTGCGCCACCGCGCTGGGCCCCCACACAGCTATCTTAAAAGGTTTTGTTTAAACATACACACGCATTCCGTTAGAAAGGGTTTGCAAGTTCTATTCCAGGAACTTTTTAAAAAGTTCTTGAAGAGATAACTAGCCCCAACAAAATTGAAATAGTCAGCCAGTCAATAAGGCAGTCAGGAAAAAAATGAATTAACTGGGGTGATTAGACTCCTAACATGCAAAACATGTGATATTCCGCAGAAGACTAGAAGTGGCTTCAAGTTTGGCCTGTTGTGTTATTCAGGACTACAAAAGTTTAAGAAGGGGGAAACTAAAATGTAACATTGTGTTAACTTGGCTCCTCTGAATGACCCATGAGTGAACTAATAAATAATTTGGTCACTAGGCAAATTACACCTATAAGAAAGGAGGTCATTATTGAAAACACCATGTTATTGTCCAAATTCCTCAAATTATTTATTTCCAATAGAAAATGTAACATCAGTATGAGATGTGTAACTAAAGGAAGCGTCTCCAACAAAGCCAAGCTGACATTTCATCTTCTAAGGCTTAGGTTTCGTCCAAAATTCCCTGTACAAGGAATAGCCCATACCAACAATCATTGCTCCTACCACAAAACCTTGAGCAGCCATGCGCACATGGATCTGGTGAAGGGACATTTTTGTATTTCCCCTGCTTTTCAGTCTGTAGAGCCCATATGCAACAATGGCTACAAAACTTGCCATCCCAAAGGGGACAAATGGTGCCTCTTTAGCTTTTTGGATAAGCTTGGATCCCTGATCTTCATCAGATGAAGAAAGAGAAACATCTGTATTGGTTGACATAGTGATTGCTTGAACAATTTTCTGACAGTGACAAACACCACACACTCACCAACTGGCTTCTTTGTTTTTAATTTACTCAAGTTACATGCCTATCATTGGTGATCTGGGTACTTGATTCTGTGGTATCATTATTTGGTATTCAAACTGACAAGGCTGAACTGACAGTCACTAAACAATGGCTTTTAAAAAAGGATTTGACTGGAAGTGACACAGGTCACAAGCAAATCACATGTTCACACCTAACTTTAGGAAGTCAGCAAAGGGCAGTCCTATTATTTGCCTTAGAGAAGGATCAAAAATATTTTGTGGACAGTAAGAATTATTAGATATGATGTCTCCAAACCTGAATAATCTCTCCCTGTTTTATACTTTTGTAACATTCTGTAAAATTCTGTGAGGGTACTTCAAAAAATTCATGGAAAAGAGAATTAAAAGGTAAGTGTATTTGGGTGTGAAAAATGTGAAATCCATATAGTTTTTTTTCATAATGTGCATTTTCATGAATTTTTTGAAGACACTTATGCCTCATTGTTATTTATATTAAAATTATGATAAAATCCTGTATTAATATAGAATTTGAGTTTGATGAGTTCGGAGGTTGGCTTTATACCTGTGAAATTCCTACCCAGCTAACTGGGCAAACTCATGCCAGTCATTCATTAACCTTGCGTTAGAAAAATCCTTCCTGTGTCAGTTTGCATCAGTGGTCCTCAAACTCACCTTCATAATAATTTGGAGAAGTGAAAGTAAAAAGGAAATACCTGAACCTCAGCCCAGAGTAGTTCAGTCACAATCTTAGAATGGGCTCAGCCCTCAGAATTTTTTAAGCTCTGTACAATATTTAATAAACACTTATAAGAAATTATATAAACAATATACAAATGCTGGCTTACAAGATCATTATTTATTTGCTTTCTAGTGAACCTCTTTGAATATTCAGCATTGTTTTTTGTTATATTCCATAGCTTACTTGCTTTCCTGTGATTTTTTGGCACCAAACCCTGCTTGTACTTATTTATTCATTTTTATATTCACTTGTATATTGTGTTTGTCTTCTGCTCTACACTCTTTTAAAAAATATTTATTTATTTATTTGTTGGAGAGGTAGATTTACAAAGAACAAGAGACAGAAAGATCTTCTGTCCAGTGATCTACTCCCCAATGGCCACAATGGTCAGAGCTAAGTCAACCCAAAGCCAGTAACCAGGAGCTGCTTCTGGGTCTCCCACTGGTGCAGATGCAGTGTCCTAAGGTCATGGGCCATCCTCTACTACTTTCCCAGGCCACAAGCAGGGAGCTAGATGGGAAGTGGAGCAGCCGGGAAATGAATCCGTGCCCATTTGGGATCCCAGTGCATTTAAGGCAAGGACTAGACTATAGCTACTAGGCTACTGCTCCTAGCTTTCTTACTCTGCACTTTAAGAACCATCAATGCATCTAATTAGTTCATAATATACCTAGTACTTGTCACTGTGTCTGTCACACAGAAAGTTTCCCTACTCTTTTTTTTAAGATTTATTTATTTATTTATTGGAAAGTCAGACATACAGAGAGGAGGAGAGACAGAGAGGAAGATCCTCTGTCCAATGATTCACTCCCCAAGTGAGCGCGCAATGGCCAATGCTATGCCAATCTGAAGCTAGGATCCAGGAACTTCTTCCGGGCATCCCACACAGGTGCAGGGTCCCAAGGCCTTGGGCCATCCTCAACTGCCTTCCCAGGCCATAAGCAGGGAGCTGGATGGGAAGTGGAGCTGCCAGGATTAGAACCGGCGTCCATATGGGATCCTGGGGTGTTCAAGGTGAGAACCTTAGCCACTAGGCCATGCTGCCAGGCCCAGTTTCCCTATTCTTTTTTCACTTTTATTTCTCTACTATCCCTGCTCATATTTACCTGTTTCTTTGTATTCCATCTCCTCTGTAGAATGATTTCTGTTTTCTTGTATTGGTTCTTTTGTTTTTCTATTTTTTTTTTTTAAGACTGACTTATGTTTATTGCAAAGGCAGATCAAATTTATGGAGAGAAGGAAAGATCTTGCAGCTTCTGGTTCACTCCTTAGCCTGAACTGCTGGAGTTGAGCCTCCCTGGAACCAGGAGCTTCTTTCAGGTCTCCCACATGGGTGCAGGGTCCCAAGGCGTTAGTCATCCTCCTCTGCTTTCCCAGGTCATAAGCAGGGAGTTGGATTGGATGGGGAACAGCTGGGACACAAATTGGCACACATACGGGATTCTGACACTTGCAAGATGAAGATTTAGCCATTGAGCCATCATGCCGGCCGGGCCCTTTTTCCTTTCATTAGATGAGATAAATTTTGAAAATTAAGACAAAATACAAATATAATGTATTTGAAAAATATAAAACAGTGCCATACACTTAGGCACGGTTATTAGTATTGTATGTGATCACCTCCAGGGCAAGTCAGCTAATCAGTGGTCCAGCTAGTCTCATACTGGAACTCTGGGTCATCCAATGGTGTCCATTGCTTGGATGTCAGATAATCAGCTTTTTATACAATTATAGTGATCCAGCAATAACATTGGTGCAAATTTTGTAAACCTGTACTTGGTACCACAACAGTTAGCATCTGTATTTAAAAATCTATCATCTTAACTTTCAAATATTTTAAGTACATTTTTCTTTTGAGAGAAAACCAAACATTTATTTATATTCATAAGAGCTGAATATTTTTGATAAAGGCAGAAATGTGGATAACAAAAAATACTTATATTTGTAACGATGGTCACCTTTTAAAAAACTCACATCCTAATAAAAGCACCTATTAAAACTGAAGTAGCATTAATTTATGGTTGACTTCATAAGAGTGTGCTTTAGATTTCATCCCATTTTCTTTAAAAAGCTTTGAATGATTATGTGCAGGATGGTTGTTGCCTCATGTCTGCTGTCTGTTTTGGTGTATCAAGCATTTGTTTAGAATGCTTTTTCCCTTTGCTTTTTTCAGCATTTTTGGTTTTTTGCTTGCTTGTTTTGTGTGTGTGTATATATGTCATTATTTTGTTTTGTTCTTTGGTTTGGAAATACCTACATATTGCTTTATTCTTAGCTTAAGGGAAGATTATATCAAATAGATTGTTGTGACTTCTGTATTTCCTGTGCACACTTCTATTTTTTTGTAATTAATCTCTTTGGAATTATGGTTTTTCTTTCACTGTATAACTCGATTTTTGTTCAGTAATAAATAAATAGAGAGTGGGGGAATGAGAGAGAGAGAGAGAATCTCCTGTCCATTGGTTTACTCCATAGATACCCAGCAACAGCTGGGAAGCTGAAGCCAGGAGCAGGAACTCAGTGGGTATAGGGTCATGAATACTTCAGCCATCACCTGCTATTTCCTCTGGTAAGTCTTACCAGGAAGCTGGAATGGAAAATTGGGCTACAGCTCTAACCACAGACACTTCATTATAGAATGCATGCGTAACTGTTGAGCTGAAACTCTGCTGCTGTGAAAAGCTTTTCGGGTCCAGAAACTGTCTACCTCTGTTGTAGTCAGTTCATAGCATATGAGTTCTCAAGTCTGTGACTATTGAATTAATAAATAAAAAATATTCATTTGTCCATGTATGTATATATAGGTATGTAACATTCCATACATGGTTTTGCATAGTGTAATTTGGAAGATGTGTTAGTTAATGAATTTTGAATTATTTTTGCTTCCCAAAATAAACATTTGTGGGTAACAAATAGAATTTTAGTTGAATGGTGTTAGCACAGATGGGGCCACTAATAACTATAAGGATTTTCAATCCAGTTGTAACATCCATTATGGAACAATTATGATACCTTAATGTCCTGTTTTGGGACATCAAGGTTCTGCTTTATTCTTTGTGTCTGTTATAAGTTAGGAAAAAATGTTATTGCCACTTTTCCATGTTTATTATTTTGAACTGATCAGTAAGTAATGCTTACTTATGATAAAGATAGTCAAGTGTTGTGTTTGTTCCTTTCTCATTGTAATGGAGTGAAATAATAGTAATCCAGGATAGGGGGCAATCGCTCTGTTCTGGTGAGACCGATCTTATAGATGCCTAGTGTGACTGGTGCTCATGGCATCAGTCTCTCTCTTTTTGTCTCTGTCTCTCACACACACACAGAAGAAGAGGAAAAGAGAGAAATATTTTTAAGTAGGTGAAAATTGTTTCAAAATTAGTATCAAAGGTGATCCTAAAGGGGAAGAAGTGTTGCAGTGTGCATTATGCACCGGACCACAAGTTCTTTGGTTAAGCTCCTCTTAACATTGATTGAATCTCTTTGTATTAAGTAATGGTGTCATCTCCTCTTCCCTTCTGTTGTATTGCTTCTCTCCACTGCCTGTTCTTCACAGAAATTTTTATACTCTCAAAAATAATGGCTCAGCAGTGCACCAAGTGGTGCCAAGCTCTGCCTGCTGGCCGCCCAGCGGCGAGCTCTGGGGTTTTGATGATATGAAATAGCTGCTTAGGGACACCCATAAGTAAGACCAGCGTTAGCATAGGTGAGACACTAATTTCTGATGATTCCCAGGACTCGGGACATGAAACCTTAATGCAGGTGTGGGACTGAGACCTGAATGTTTGGAGTAAGCAAACTTTAGTCCACAAACATTATTGGAACACAGGGTGCAGCTCAGGACATGCCCAGCTTGGTTTTGGCTCCACTGGTCCACATTAAGCACAGAGTTGAGCCACGGTGTCTAAGGCAGGGGTTGTGACAGGTGGATGGGGTGGCGGTCGGGTCTGAATACAGTCGTTGTCTCCCTTGGCACAAGTGTGGACTGGAAAAAGACGTACCGGGCCGGGCCAGACCGCAACACCTTCTGGCGCTTTGGAGTACCAGGGTAGATGTGGGACAGACTAGGCTAGGTCCCAACTCCAACTGAGCCATATATGAGCTATGTGGGGATGTGGACGACCATGGCTGGGCTGAAACACCCTACAGCAAGAACCAGAATGGGATGATGGCCAGTTAGGAAAGGCCACTGTTCCTGCTAGGACAGGAGGCAAACTGGCACATGAACCCA